CTGCATTAAATATTCTTATCTGAGATGGAATAAGTAATCTTCAAGTTCTTTCCAAGTTATAAAGTTCAATGATCCCATTAAAACATAATTAATCAAAGATGGGGATGAGAAGAAAGAGAGGGTATAAGGGGTAGGGGGTGTAAGTCGGAGAGAAAGGGCTGGGAGAGGATGATAGAGAATCTGTGGGGCAGCAACCAACACAGGTCTATGGATTGACTGTGGATCAAGGCAATAAATACACTGCAAGCAGATCCTCTTTCCACGAGAGCACCTACTGCAGTATTCTCCTAGGGAAGATGTTCCCAGATGCCCTATCTAATAAATATAAAAATTCAGTTGCCTAAAATGAGCATCTCCCAAAGGATAGTATATTAGAAAAACCAACACCATTGACATCTACCATCATTATATTGGTGTATGGATATCAATAGCTTAATATTAATTTCTTTAAGAATTACACGATTTGAGGGCTGGGGTTGTGGCTCAGTGGTAGTGAGTGTGCTTGCCTAGCATGTGTGAAGGACTGGGTTCAATCCCCAGAACCACATTAAAAAACTAAATAAACAAAATAAAGGTATTGTGTCCATCCAAAACTAAAATATTTAAAAAAGGAATTACATGTTTTAAATATCTTTATGACAAAGTGCCAAACCTTTCTAACTACTCCTTGATATATATCCTGTAGGGAAAGGTAATTTAAAATGCAATCCTAATGTTTCTTACAAATACTATTATTTTTAAATGTTAGAAAGTCAGTCAGTAAATACATATTGACTGTCTACTAAACAGCATGCAGGAGGCAAGGGGTTGCATGGATTTAATGGGCTTAATCTCAGTTCTGAGAAGGAAGGAAGGATGAGCAGGGGCTGTCAAGTTTGGGGAAGCTGCTTAGCTTGGGGTGTAATCAGGGAGGATAGATGGGATTTGTTTGAGCAGGAATAAAGAAATTCTGAGTAGGAAAAACTGCACAATGAAAAGAGTGGTAGTAGAAACATCTGAAGCTTGTGTAGTACCAAAAGGAAGGGTCCATGAACACACATGATTGTCATGGCGCAGGGGGAAACAGTATAATTGTGAAGCAGAGAAGTTTTATTGTCTGCTCTCTTTGGAAGGAAAGAGGTAGACCAGAAATCCATTGTGTTCCTTTGTAGTGTAGGATTTTGTTGAACACACACAGCAGGATGGGGAGCAGACTCTTCCTTTGAGGTTGTTGGTGATGATGATGGTGGTGTGAGTTTCAAATCTGTGCATGGGTGGAAAGGCATGTAGGCATTATGTTCCCATTTTAGCAGCCCTGAGGCAGAATGCTTGCTGGCTTCTGGGTTATGATGTGTGGTAGGGTCCTTTAGATGGAGAAAGAAAGAGAGAGAGAGAGGGAGAGAGAGAGAGAGA